AGATACACACATACACATAAATAAAAATTAATAATTTTTTTTTAAATAAACAGCTCCCTCTACACACAGCCTGAGGAGCTGAAGTTGGCACAGCCTGCCATCTGCCTCTGCTGCCATGGTCTAGGGCAATGGAGCAGGCGATGGAGCATGCTGGGAAGACAGAAGCTTGTGGTGGAAGGCAACAAGAGACTCTTTGTCCTGTCGACATGGGGAGTTGAGACATGCAACTGTCCTGAGAGTGTTCTATCATAAAACTTCATGTGCCATGGAAACACAACACAGTTTAATTCCTAGACCAGCTGTGGTCAAAACACAGCTGGACAGATCACTGTACCTAGAACCTGATGAGTGAGGAAGGAGGTTTTCAGCCCAGGTGTGCAAAGCCGGGTCAGTGTCCCATTAACCATGACAGACTGAGGTAGTGACCACCGGGACCCTTCCTGATCTGATGGGTGAGGAACTCAGGCATGCCCACACCGAGATGTTACATTTCTACTTTAGGCCTACTGTGCTGTGTCTACTTGGGAAATGATTGGAACAGAAGTAATTAGTCGCTTGGCTGTGGAATAACAGATGAGATACTTTCAGCAAATACACCTCACCCAGTGCCCCCAAATCATCTGGGTGTGTCCTGGTCTCCAGGGTGTGTGCACAGCAGAGTTAACTGTGAACCTCCACGCCAGCTCCTGGAGGAACTCTGAAGTTTAGAGGACTCGGGAGCTGCAGAAACAGACATCTGGTGGCCAACCTTTGCCTATAATGAGCAGTTATTAAATATTCACATCAGGAGCTGGGACTTGTATCAGCCAGCCCTCAGCTGCTCTTCCAGCCTGCTACCTATTACACCTCACACTTTATATACCCCCAAATCCAACAAGTTCTATAAAACTTGCCACTGACATCAGGGTGGGTCTTGGAGGCTTATGGTTGCTTATGGTTATCCTAATAAAACCCAGGAATGTGTAACAGGCCATAGGCAGCAGACCACCAACTACTTTATTGTTAGAACACAAAAGAAGAGCTCTGGTAACCCTGCCATACCTGAGGCGCAGCGTGTGGCCGGTTCTTAACCCTTGAAGACTCTATTATTCACCCAATGTTGGGTGACATCTGTATGTTTCTTGTTTCTGTGTGATGAGTCCGCTAAGTTACACAGTCAGACAAGAAATACCGATGATGGAGTGGTTATGAACTACAGATTGGAGCTTGCAAATCAATTTGGAATTTTTTTTTTACATAAATTCAAACCAGATCTGTGGGGGCAGCCTTTTCTCAGCTAACAGAAGCATGAACAGAAGAGGGGTCTGAGCAGACGGGCAGTCAGCCAGCCTGAGGATAGGTGGGAAGGAGGTCATCTGTGACTCCAGGATATCTGTCTGTCTGTCTGTCTGTATCCTGTCTGTCTATCTATCTATCTATCTATCTATCTATCTATCTATCTATCTATCTATCTATCTATCTGTCTTCTTTCTTGATCCTCATGTGCAGGGCTCCATCTCTTCCTCTTATAGTACAGATGCAGGAAAGGTCCCATGCCAGCAGGAATACAGGAAGTTCTCACGGGTGTTCACTGAGGAGCATTGTATAAGTAAAAGGGCTACTTAGTGAGGTGTAGGCTTGTCGAAAGACATGGAGAACCGGAGCGGGCCCAGGGCTACTACCACGAGGGGTCTGCACTCATCCCTAAACCGAAGGGGCTCACACAGGGGTCAGGCAGGAAGTTCATCCAACGGACGTGGCAGATCAGCTGCCTGGCAAAGAGTAGGCCGTGGAAGGAAAGGGTGCATCTGAGGGACAACAGGAAAACTACTAGCATAGGCTGTCATTCCATATTATTCAGTTAGCTTACTCGGATCCAAGCATCCAAACCTAATAGATACAAAATAAAAAAAATAAATAATAAAGTGTCCTTGTGTAAAAGGGCATCATGAGAAGATTTAGTGGAGGAGGTGGGGGAGGCTCCTCTGTTTCCTAAATCATACCTGGAAGTTGAAGGTCTCTAGTCTCAGTGGTGTGAGGAAGAACCTCTCCAGGTGAGACCTGATATACACACGAGGCCTTCTGCCTATCATGAAGAAAACTGCGTTCACTGGTGCGTCAATATGCTTGCATGCTGCTCGTACATTCAACGCACACACCTTTGCACCGAAAAGAGAATTTCCTCATTAACTTTGCTAGCAGCTGCAGCTAGAAAGTTGTGCAATCGCGATAATACCTTCTCCATAACCCCTCTGCTTCTGCCCTTTCTCCCTCCGAGCCGTGAGCTGCTGCATAACCATTAGAATCATCTATCCGAAAGTTCCTGCGAAAACCCTACCCTGACTCCCACCTTGACCCCAAACTCCCTAAGCGGACTCACAGTTGCTTCTCCAGCCTCCCCCTGTATAACTTCCCCTTCTCTCTTAGGTGCCACCCACACCGTTATTTTCGGTCCTGTCCTCCACGACACAAGGTCCCTTTTTCTGACCCCACTGGCTCCAGTGCCATCCTGCAGGCATGCAGTCCAGGCTGCTTGGAGACCTATCCCAGGAGTAAGCCTGCAGACTGTGACCCCCTACCTCCTCCAGCACAGCCTACACCATACCTCAGTGTCTCATCCCTCTCCCCCATGGGGAAGACCAAAGGCAGAGCCGTGGCCTCCGTCCTCTGCCACCCGTACAGAATCCAGGCAGAGCTGGCATTTGAAAACAACCAAAGAAGTAAACCAGATTGTAATTACCCATAGGAAAATGATTCCCCCTCTTAACTCTAAAGAGACGCAGCCTACATAGATGTTTAACTAGTATCATTCGGCCCCTCTCTGTATTCTCCAGCTCCTTGAGAATTTGTTTAAATCAAAAGCCACAGCATTTGGAAAGCTGATTGATTAAAAGATGTTTGGTGGAATGGCTGGAAGGCGCTGGTGGGCAAAAATCAGCCCCAGTGTCTAGAGGCTTCCAGGGACCTTTCAGGAGAGGAGGTAACGTTTGTCACCTGTGAGTGACAGCCCAGATCCTTTGGGAATGTCACCATTGAGAGGCAGTCTTGATGTTCCCTGGGCTTTATTTTTCTATAATTCTAAGATGGCTCCCAAATACAGCCTACTCATCTGCTTAGTGGGAAGTGTCTACACAACCATGGGGCTCCAGGTCTACCTTGCATAGTTTCGGGGTGTATTTCTTAACAATGGTCAGGCTAATGACTCAAGCCTTCCACACCTCAGGTTTCATGAACTGTACCTCTGACGTCACATTTTACCTTACACCAGAGCCTCTTCCCCAGACTCTGCAATCCCCTCATGATGGTCGGACCACAGCCACCGTGCAGTCTCACCCATCAGCAGGAGCGTTCCCTCCTGGGCTACCCAGAAAGCTTGCACTTTGGCATACAGTATGCTACCTCAACCATCAAACCTAATCTTCAGTTGGTTTATCTTTTAGAAAAATAGCGCGCTTCCAAATTTTAAAGATGCTGGGGAAGATGGGGTGAGGGGCAGAGAAGTCAGCGTACCATAAGCAAAGCTGAGATGGTGGCTGTCACTGTTCCAGCTGCAAGGGGACAGAGGAAGAGGCTGGCACTAACTGCCTAGCAGCCTCAGCCTTCCTTCATTCTTGCCCCACCAATGCCATGACCACCAGCACAGTCTGAGGGATCAGAACGAGGAATGCTCGTCCTGTCCAAAGGAAAAGGGATGTGCCTCCGGATTTGAATCCCTTTGATAAGCATTCTATGCTGAGGATCAAAATCACCATCAGAGGATGGAGGAACCCAGTTGATTAATTAGTCTGGGATTAGCCCAGAGTTTAATCCCCAGAATTAAAAAAAAAAGAGGGGGGCACACTATTTACTAAAGCACTACTACCACCACTACAACACAGAACTGTCTTGCTAGAATGTGAAGACTCGTCTAATTCAGTGATTCAATAGATACGGGCAGTGAGTCATTGGAAACCCCAGCGTGATCAAGAGCATATGTCAGGACATGTGGTGTGCTCTAATTCTGGACAAACTGCTAGTAAAAGCACCTGTCCCCCTGTGTCACCAGCTGAAGGCTTCAGCAGAGACTGCCGTCTCCTCGCATGCTGATCTCTCCTGTGACAGTCTCAGCTCAGTCACAGAGTTCTCCAGAAGGGGATGTAGGAGGTAGGGATCTTGGGATCTGTCAAACCCCAGCTTCCGATCTTGGGGTGGTATCTGCTCCGTTGTTCTGAAGACATGGCCTTGACCCACCAACTGCAAAACTTAAACAAAAAATATAGAGGCCAGGCCTCAATGGTACAGGCTATAACCCAGCTGTATAGGGGTCAAATCTCACTGGCATAGGCTGTAATCTCAGCTGTATAGGAGCCAGGCCTCAGTGGTATAAGCTATATCCCAGCTACTTAGGAGGTTAAGGCAGAAAGATTCCAAATTCAAGGCCTGCTTGGACAACTACTAAAGGCCTGTCTCATGATGGGAGAGAGAGAGAGAGAGAGAGAGAGAGAGAGAGAGAGAGAGAGAGAGAGAGAGAGGTTCTAAGTGTGTAACTCTGGTAGAATGCTTACCTAGCATGTACAAAACCCTAAACTCAATCCCCAGTAACGCGGTGGTGGTGGTGGTGGAGGAGGTGTATGATTAGATGCAGCAATTGTTATATTATACGTGATAGTTACATTCACACTAAAATCTGCATGAAGTCTTCTGGAATTTCTGTCATTTGTCCTATAACATTTCATACGTGTAGACAACGTACCTAGATGTTACCCACCCCAACTCCCTGTCACATACCTCCCAGACAGCCCCACGTGTCCCCCTCCCAAGTCTATGTATGTATGTATGTATGTATGTATGTATGTTTTAACCTGCGGCGCTCCGTCAGCGCTGACTGCCAGGAGAACTGCTCTTGCTGGCCTGCTCCCACGCAGGTGACTATGGCAACAGTGAGTTCGTAAGCGCAATGACCGTGGTGCGTGCATTTCATGGCGCTCCTCCTGTAATTCTTACGTCCTCTGAGTCTTGGTGGAGGGGGCTGGATACAGACATCCCGTTTAAGGTCCAGCGCTCTGCGTCACCCTTTTCTCAGCACTCTGACCAGCCACAAGCCATGGCGTTCACTGTTGCCTGAAGACGCTTAGTGCAAATCTATTCATAAATTCCCACGACTGGGAAGCAGTCAAGATGTCTTGCAGGAGGTGAGTAAGACCCAGCAAGCAATGAAATATTATTCGGCCATAAAGAGACGCGTGTTTTTAAGCCGTGAACAGATGTGGAGGACTCTTGCAGGAAAGAAGGCAGTCTGGGAAAGCCACATGCGGCGTCATTCGAACCCTATGACATTCTGGAAAAGCGAAACCATTGAGGCAGTGAACCGTGCTCCCCGGGGATCGGAGATGAAGGAGGGAAGAGTTGGCCGAGCACACAGGATTTTAGGGCAGTGAGACGGTTCTGTAGAATACTGTGATGGTGGATTTGGGACACTATACATTTGTCCAGACTATGAACAGAAGGAACCCTAATGTGAGCTATGGACTCTGGCAGATAAGTATGTGGGTTTGTGGGCTGTAACACATGGATTAGGGTCAGGGGCAGGCAGGGAGTAGACAAACTCTCTGTGCTGTAGTCCCAAAACAGTTCTGAAAAACAAAGATTTTTTTTATTTTTTATTTTTTTTTGTCTAGCATGTTAGAGAGCAAAGGAAGGTAAATCTTTACATTTTTTCCATACAAGGAATTAAACTCAGGGAGCCCGGGGCATGCTGTGCTCTATCTACTGAGCTACAGTATCAGCCGCAGGTCTTCTAAATATTTGACTTAAATGCCAGTGGTTAGGCCCTGACGGGTCTAGAGAAGCAGTCCCCCGCCCCCAAATGCTTCATTTAAAAATACTTCTTTTATTTATTTTTAGTTTTGTGTGTGTGTGAGTGTGTGTGTGTGTGTGTGTGTGTGTGTGTGTGAAGGCTTGTGCACGTGTGAGTGTAGATGCCACAGAATCCAGAAGACAGTGTCCTAGAGCTGGAGTTACAGGCTGGTGTGAACTGCCCCCCCCCGCCCCCCCGCCGCCGACTCCCATCTTGTGGGTGCTGGAGACCAAACTCTTCTGTATGAGCAGTACATGCTCTTAACCACCCAGTCACCCTTCCAGCCCTGGAGTGTTTTATTTTTAATGCCATGTGGGATGCAGCCATTTTCAGTGTACAGTGGGTCACCTCCCTTTGTGTGAGAAGCCACGCCTGCCTCCTCAGTGTCCTATCAGCACCTCTCAGGGCAGCCTGTTTTCTACCTAGAAGACCATGCTGAGTAGGGAGATGGGAAGACTAGGTTTCCTCACTGGAATCCTATCACATGTATGCAGGAACTCTATCATGTATGCAGGGACCCTATCACATGTATGCAGGAACTCTATCACATGCATGCAGGAACTCTATCATGTATGCAGGAACTCTATCACATGTATGCGTAGGTCTGACCTGGTCCCCACAGCTCACTGAACTTGCTGAGTTCTAAAAGGAGGGCGCTGCCTGCCTCTAATCCCGCCTTCCCACTGAGGTTAGATGGTCTTCTGAGACACTCAAGGTTGGATCACGTTGAGTGATTTGCTGTATCACAGAGGCGGCCCTCAACAATGTGATGAGACCCCGGGTTGAGAATGGCTGGTGGGTGGCAGACCACACTGCTTGACTTTCTTGTCCCTAGTTTCTCAACTGAAGGTGGCACTCAGAGAAGGGGCAGAGGTGGGCAGGTTTTACAGAGTGGAGCTAAGTTTGTCATTTTTTTACCAAAGGAACGGATGGATTTATCCAGGTTGCAGCCTACCATTCAGAGTCATTATCCAAGTATCATTTTCCCCCCAAACACTGCAATATTATTCCACAAACCACAGATTCTTTTCTGTTCCATCTCTCAAGACTGATAATGTCTTTGCCCACATTATTATTTCACTCTGCAGCCTCTGCCTGAAGCCGCGGATGTAGCGGGACAAGGGAGAGCGCTTTTGAAGATTATGATGGGCAAGAGCGACCTCTGCTGGGCGAATGGGACATACTCACACGCGCCCTGGACTAACCCAGAAATTACGAAATGCTTGTGGAGGTAGAGAGAAAAAACCAAACCAAACCAAACAAACAAAACAACAAACAAACAAAACCCTTTCGTTTCTGTTTCTAAACTATATGGGGTTAAAAATCAAACACGTAGATTTACCTTTTCTTAGTAGTGTTGTAGAAACAAAACATGTTACATGCTCCCCAATTCTCCAATCTCTTGGGACCTACGTGATTTTTCAGAGAGCCTCACACGTGCACACAGGTTCTAGGAAATCCTCACTGTTGATTAGCTAAAGGATTTCTTTCCCGTCTACCTACCTGCCTGCTGGAAGTCCAAGCTGTTCATGCCCAGGCAGGAATGTGTGTTGCCCACTTCCGATAAGTCTGAGGTGATTGGCAGGCTCTCGAGCTGTATTTTCTCCACTCCTTGGAAGTAAGGTGAGCTGGAGACGGGTCAATGTGCAGGTCAAATGCATTCAAAGAGACATTGATACCCCCTTTGCCAGACTTTCCTCCTTGATTGTAGAGGAATTTGGATAGTTTCAAGACTGTTGGTCCTTAACTTGTGGTGGGAGACCATTGTGAATACTTTTGAAAATAATGAATTGAAAATGATGAAATTTATCAGGGAAAAAAAAAGTCATTAACTTGCCCCTGAAAAATGAATTTCTGCCTTTAAAAATCTTGAAATGCCATTACAAAAATATGCTGGAAGACTGGCAAGGTATGTGTGAATTTGGGGGAGGGAAGTTGGTAGGCAAGCCTTTAATTTTGGAATGAATAAGTTAAAATAAGTTAATTTTAAAGGTTTCTCTGTCTATATGAACATTTACCAAAGGATGGGGTTAGAAAACTCGTGGGAATTTCCAGCTTCCTATCCATAAGGAATCTGGCCGTCCTCATGGGAGAGACAGGTACAGGTGATCATCACTTGTGCTCCTTAGCTCCACCCAAGCTGGTCACCTGAGAAGAGGGGACTTCTGTTGAGAAAATATCCCTATCAGATTAGCCCGTAGGCAAGCCTGTGGGAGTATGTCCTTGGAAGAGCCCAGACCACTGTGGGCAGGTGGTTCTGGGTGGGAAAAGAAAGCACACTCAGCAAGCCAGAAGAAACAAGTCAGTAATCAGTGTTCCTCTGTGGTCTCTCCTTCAGGTCCTGCCTCCAGGTTCCTGCCTCCAGGTTCCTGCCTCCAGGTTCCTGCCTCTAGGTTTCTGCCTTGTCTTCCTGTGGTGGTAGTGTGTTCCCCAAAATATTGTGTACCCTAATAAACTTATCTGGGGTCAGAGAACAGAAAAGCCACTAGATACTTAGGATAGACAGTGGTAGCACACACCTTTAATCCTAGCATTCCAGAGGCAGAAATCCATCTGTTCAAGGATACAGCCAAACATGGTGACTCACCCCTTTAATCCCAGAAAGCCAGCCTTTAATCCCAGGGAGTGATGGCAAGAACAGAAAGGTATATAAGGCGTGAGGACCAGAAACTAGAAGCATTTGGCTGGTTAAGCTTTTAGGTTTTGTGAGCAGCACAGTTCAGCTGAGAGCCATTCAGATATGAGGACATAGAAGCTTCCAGTCTGAGGAAGCAAGATCAGCTGAGAAGTTGGCCAGGTGAGGTTAGCTGTGGCTTCTTTCTGTCTCTCTGATCTTCCAGTGTTCACCCCAATACCTGGCTCAGTTTTGATTTTATTAATGACAACTTTTAAGATTCATGCTACAACTTCCCTAATGATGGGCTGGGAACTGTAAGGCAGATAAACCCTTCACTCCTGAGTTGCCTTTAGCCATTGTGTTTAGGCAACTAAGACACTCCCACCAGTGCAAGCCGGCTTCCTCCTCCACCAACCTGGATCCACCAACCCCGTCTCATCTCCTGAATGGTACTAGGAGAAATGCTGCTGTACTTTTCTTATGGTTGATCCAAGGATCTAGTGTGATGAAATGCTTGGTTTCTTGGGATTGGAAAGGAATGGAACTATTAATGTGGGGCCTCATGGAGGATCCTTGGGTTATTGGGTGTGAGTTCTTGGGTGGCCGCTTGGGTTCTCGGGAGAGGATTGGTATAAAAGAAGGAAGCCTGACATCTCTACTTCAGAATGCCGTCACGTGCTTGCTCCCATCACTACTATTTGCCTTGCAGTGATGTAGCCAAGAGGCAGTCACCTAGAGCCCGTGCTTTTTGGACACTGATTCTCTGACACATCGTGATAAGTAGCCTGTCAGGTATTTTGTGTGGTGATACAATGTTGACTATTTTTAAAAATGTACACACAGATCTAAAGATAATGAAGACAGTGTTCTCCACCTGTGAGGCGTGCTATTGGGGAGGGGAGAAGAATTCTGACCCGTCAAACCTAGAGTTTGCACTGCTCTGTCTTCCTTCCAGTCTTATATTCTCAGACGGACCCATTGAGGGCTACAGCATCCTGTCTCCCCGCACTCACTAGGATTACAATACAACAGCGCGAACTCTGTCCCTCTCAAAGCAACGTAGCCAACTCTTAGCAAAACCGGCTTCCCACCATTTGCCCTTGAACCTTGTGGCAGGATTAAGGAAGCATTTTTTCTCTTCAGTAAGCAGGTTGTGCACCTCACTTACACCCCTCAGCAGAGCAGCTGATCGGCAGAGTTTGGGGTTGCTGTCTGTATGCCACACCAATACGCAGCTGGTCCTTGCCTTTCCATTAGGTCCTATCTCAGCAGGAGTCACAGATTGAACTTGACACTCCCAAGGCTCCCAGGAGAGGTCTTGAGAGGTGGCATACGTTCTTTTGAAGTGAGGCCTCTCTCTACTTCAGTCTGTTCTTTAGATCAAACCCTCGTCATCACACCTGCCCTTTCGAGAGCGTGACTGTGCATGGGGCAGTTTTTACCTTTTCTCCCCAAAGAAGAGATGATTATCTTTTTTTAAAAAAAGAGGGGGGGGGGAGAAAAAGAAAAAAAAAGACTGTTTCATAACAGCCAACTTCAAATACAGATGAAGGTAATAATACCAGTGAACAATCCCGCCAACTTTCATCTACAGAGCTCAAAGTATTTGGCAAACATTAATTAATTCTCATAACAGCCTGGTGAGGTAGGGGTATTATCTCATAATAATATATAAATACTGGCTGCTCCGTGAAAGCTGCTACTTAAAAGGGACAAGTCTCCTGGATCAGTTTCAAAACCAGTCTTTTCACCTGGTCTAGACCTCGAAGGCTTGGGTGACGCTTTGGAGGGTACCCAATTTTCTAATAACATGATATCCCAGAGCGAACAACCGCCCCCTCTCAAGATGACTTCTTTAATGCTGTTAGGGGTTCTTATCTATCTGGAGGACCTTTTTCATGTTAACGAAACAAAACAAAACACGTATTGTGGCTTAGTCCATCTAAGTTGTTCTTAGTCTCTGTACATGAAAGAATTCCAAAGTGCTCTCGCGCCTGAAGCTGAAGCGTGAGAATCTGGGGTCCTGTTTCAAACGCCTGCGGATTTGGAGGGATTGAGACCGCTTCAGGGTTTTGCAGCGTTTTCTCCATCGTTTTAAAGTCTGGGCATCTTGCAAAACCCAGTTCCAGAGCGCGTGAGAATGCTTGCCAGCCAGAGTTTCCACCCGAGACACTGAGCTTCCCAGGGCTAAGCAGGACCGGACTTAAACAGGTTCCTGGATGCGTCATCCCAAAAAGAGGTGGTCTCTTTTTATTTTGGATCCTTGCCTTCCATTTCCTCTGACTATAACCTCCCTGAGAAAAGCCAAGGATATTTACTTTTTTCCAGTTGCTGATCTGAAGCTCTCAGGGTTGATTTCCCAGCACCTCTAGCTCGGTGAACCACACTAGACCTGCCCCCCCACCAAACCCCAGTTCCATTGAGATCCCACCTCCTGAGCATGACCCTCATCCATGTGACATTTGGCTGGCTTTTTGAATCCTGAATGCTCACTTTTGGGGGTTAGCCGGCAATGTACGTTTTCTATACCTTTAGCCTACCTTCCATGTGGTAAAGCTCTCTATAAACGTTCATTCAGGATGTATGTTGTTGTGCTGAAATGTAAAAATTTCCCTAGACTCTGGCTGAGACCACTGTTTATAGTCTTGGTTGCACAAACCCGTTATGTGCATTGCTCTCAACTGATCCTGGCAAGTGAATCATTCCACCCAACCATGCAAGGAACCATTTGTACCGCTTCATGGCGGAGCATTGACTTGCTAAGTATATCTGTCGGCCATTGTCACCGGCCTCCCTTAGCGGCCTCAAGGGAAAGAGCCTGGTTTTGGACTCAGAACTTTGGTGGAGCTGATGGTCTCCAAACTCCAAAGTGGGATAAACCAGATTCTTCCCCTCTGTTTACGTTGGCCCGCCGGGTCCCTTTATGGAGAGAACGGTCCAAATAAAGTGCTTCCTCTGTGTATTTTGACAGGAAACACACTTCTGCGCTTTCCTTTTGTTGTGTGTCTTGCTCTTTTCTCCTAGAGTTGTTTAAATATTTTTGGTAGAGTGACATATTTATTAATCCACTCTTCCCTGCGCGAGGCATTAAGTGATTGGCTCTCCTGTAAGGCCCTCTGGGAAAAGGTGGTTTCTCCAGTGAGAGTTAATACTATTGCCACGATTCATGTAAAAACCACCGAGACAATCTCTTAAAAATGGGCCACATTTATCTAAAACAGCTGGGAAAGAAAGCACACAGGCCCAGCCAGAGGCAGCAGGGTCAGAGGTCAGGGTTAACACCGATCTCCGTGGAACTTTGAAGCTGACGTTTTACAGATTATGCGTGTCTCAGTGCACAGTGGGCATGGCACATAAATTGGACTTAGGGGCCCCCGATTTGTTCTCTGCGTTTTTTACGAGCCCACGGAGCTCCTCTTTGAAGCGGCATACGTAGAAAATAAAAACTCATTTCAATGTTGTGGAACTATTTACGATAAATCACATTTATACCCGGGGATTTGTGAAAATGTAAGTTCTCTCTCTGTCTCCACCCCCCCACCCCACCCCATGCGCACACACATTCACGGAGTCAGGTAACTTTTTTTTTGTTTTTTAAATCTTTATGGTATTAAGTCGGTTTCCTTTCTCCGTGCTCTGACTTCAGGATGGGACCCTAGGCACAGCCATGTCCAGCACCACGGGGCAACTTTGAGAGGCCTGTGAGGTGGTTCACCGGAATGAGCTACTCTTCCATCATCCCCCTCCCCAAGGAAAACTCCCTGATACCATGAAATGCTGGTTCTAATATGGCCCTTCTGCACTGGAAGACAGCGTCTGATTTCAAAGGGATTAAGTTCCACTCTGGAACTAATTATATCATTGGTTTTATGGATTTTTTTTTTTTAAGTTGCTAGGTGTTTTAACTGGAGAAGGCTGGCGACCCGGAGAGAGGCTTGTCCTGGCAGAGAGTCTGCCATAGGCACTTCAGCCACCTAATTAATTTTCAATAAAAGCTTGCAATAGTTAATTTGCTCTCAACCCAATGTAAATCAAATGGAGACAAATAGGTTAAAATTAGAAATGTGTGATGGAAACCATGTTTATTGGTCAAAATTACCTTTCACCCTGGAAATAACACAGATTGATAGAGAAGAAAATGAGACCACACAGGTTTTGGTTCAAATAGATTCAGAAATGGATTAAAAAGACTTCCTTAAGAGGGAAATCTGCAGCCCTCCCTCAGATGGTCTATCTATGAAATAATGTTATTTTAATATAAAAGCAGAGTTGGAAAAAATGTTACCCTAAAAATCACAGGATGAAGACATTGGTCCCATTATTCCAGGTGGCCTGAGGCCCCTCACTTTCCTTCAGGCTTACCACGGCACAGGGTCCAATCATAAAAATGCTATAAAGTTATTAAGTTCCCAGGCCTAAATTGGCAGACATACCTACCCAATGCCACATTCCTTCAGCTCCTAGGTTTCAAAGGGCGGCGTTCTAACATCAAATAAGCGGTTTTACTTTTATGAGAACACAGACATAGATTTCTTATGAGTTTATAATGATACTTCAATCTGCCAATTAAAATATCCAGACAATATAGATATTGCTGGCCCCATCCATTGGACTAATATTATTATTAAGGCTCTCTCCAGGACTTTCTGTTTGCAAAATATTTTGCAGACTTTAATCATTTTAAATTGCCTAACGTTTGCCGATTTTCTTTGTGCTTTTTTCCTATTGCTCAGACAACCATTCCAGTTTAATAGACAAACCGCCCCTGTGGTGAGTAGTGAAA